CCCCAAAACCCCAAAACCCCAAAACCCCAAAACCCCTAACGACTAAGAGCAGTTGAAATTAAATTTATTTAAAATCTAACGAAGAGAAAAATGTCGTCAACAAGTAAAAGAAAAGAATCGATACTTAAAGGCACTGCACAATGGTATCCCTCATCTCCTTCTAGTGATAGAAAAAGAGATAAAAAGAGAGAATATTTAGAAAAACTCTCGAATAAAATTGGATCAAAAATACCAAGTCCTCATAGAAGTAGAAGGACAAAAGAAATTTTAAGAGAAAGCACATCTAAGAATGAAGGACCAGTTATGCTTAGTGATAAAATTAATGAGCATTTTGATAATTCATTATTTAGAAATGAGCATTATATTGCTCTTAGCAATTACTATACTCCTCATGAGCCTGTTGACTGACAATCCATATACAATATGCTCGATCTCTATGATAAACATTCAGATAATGTAACTAAAAATATTGATCTCACGAGGAACGATTGTTCAAAAGAACGAGAGGAAGAATACTGATCCTCAATGGAGGAAATTAATGATGAAACCATCGGTGTACTAGTAAAAGAACCTAAAGGAAATGATGCTTTGTTTTCATTTAGGAAAAAGCCCTCTTTCCCAAAAATGATAATTCCAATTGCAAACAAATTTGATCAAAATAATTTCGACTTTGAATCTGTTGATGAATTGACTGATTACAATACAAGAGAGTTTAATTCTTCTGGAAACATTGATCAGAACCTTAGCTGTTCTAAACAAATAATCATTAAATTTGAGCAGAGTAAGATATGAAATGAGTTGTCAGGTTCTGAAATAAAAATAAACGATATCAAATGTCATGAAATTGCTAGCAGCCTCAGTCCTGATAAAGATTTTAATGATGAACTAATTTCCAAAACTAATCTTTGCCAGCCTAGTTTACCAAGCCCGAACTTCATGAGTTGAATGGAAAAATAAAATGCATGACTACAAAAATTTTGGATCTGCTAAAGCTATTGAAAACTACAGTCAGAAAGATCCGTTTTCAATGATCCATGAAAATAGCAAAGACGGATCAGTTATTCTTAACCATACATTTCAGAATGGAAACAATTTGGCAAGAACAGATTCACAAATTTCGAATACAAATTGGATCTACAAAACATCTTCTAAATATAAGAGTGCAGTCGTTGATTATGATGTTTCGAGTAGTGCTAAAAACTCTCCAGTAAAAATGAAGAGAACTCAATAGATAAAGTATCTTCTAAAAATTCAATAAAACAGAGGAGAGCAGATATCAATATGATTATTAATGACCCCATCCCTGAAAAATCAAACGAGAACTCAAGCTCAAATGAGCAAATCGCAAAACTCCAAAAAGTAAAACAAGCAAATGAGCAAGAGCTTGTATCAGTTATGAAAATTGGAGAAAAAGAGAATATTCAGGATGATATCCTGGAATCTATCAGATCATTGCACTCAAAGCTAGACTCAATTCAATCAGTCCTTTCTTCTAATAACCATCAGAAAGAGGAAGATAAATCCGAAGAACAACCGATTAATTTCCAAAGAGATTCATCAGAATTTCAAATTAAGAACAATCAAATGAAGGAAGCTTTAAAATCAGATACTGAATCTGAATTGGACAAACCTGTAGCTTACCCTAGAGATCAATTAATTTGACCTCAGATTTCAGACGCCTTAAGGCTAGATGTAGATATAAGCAATAGCTTTCAATTAGTTGAGAGAGAACTCACTCCTAAGTTACCTACAGAATTTCTGAATTTTGATGCAATTAAAAGTTCATCTTCTCGAAATAGTGAAACCTCAGTCGAGATGGCAGCTATATTTCCTTCATATAGTAATAATGATAGGTTACAAACAGAAGTAACGTCTAACAATCCTCCTAAAAGAATTATATCAATCTCACCAAAAAGAAAATCCATCAAAAGAAGAAAGTCTGGTTCTAGGATCTATGACAAACAGATGAAATGGCTAAGAGAAAAGAATGAGAGAAATGAAATTATGCGTAGAGAACAGTATAAATCTATTCGGAGCAAGACCCGTTCAAGATCAGTCAAAAGTAGCAGACCTTCTTCTCCAAAAAGTCAGCGTAGACTTTCCACTAGCATTTGAAAGACTGAGAAAAGCACTCGCCAAGTGAAAACTAAAAGAGATAAAACTTTCTGAGATTTTCTTATTAGAAACGAAATTTGGCAAGAAAATAAAAAGAAGCACATTGAGGAAACTACAAACAAGCTAAGAAGTGCAGAAAAATTAAAAATGACAAAGGATAAACCAAAAAGAAGATCAAGGTCTGCTAGAAAAAGAAATAAACAAAGCAAGGAAAGTAATGGGTTCAAGACCACCAGAACTGGGCAATAATCCTATTACTATCAAGACCAACTCCAAGTACTATCAAAAATTATGTCGATTTGAATTCAATCTAAGGCGATTTTAGAGGGGTTTTGGGGTTTTGGGGTTTTGGGG